ACTTCTCCTGTGTTGGCCAGTGACCTCTATGGACAGACAAAAACTGGTGATGGGCTTCTTCTTGACCAGCTGAGCCCAAATACTTAAGGAGGAAAAAAGGAAAAAAGAAGAAGAAATTTTTCATAGAAACCAATTCCTCTCTTTCCTCTGCCAATGTGAAAGGGTGGCAGAGGTATGTGGAGATTTAGGTCCTCACTGTGGGGGTCTGACCCTGTTAGAAAACCCAGAATCACCTTTGGGTCTTATCTCAGACGTCTCTAAGGTACTTGTGGAAGTAACTAATAAAAAGTTGCTCCTAAATTTCATGATCTCTAAGCCACAGCGAAGAATTAAAAACTGGCCCATGGGCCATCTTTTATTATTATTTTTGTTGCAGGGCCAAATCTGTCTGTCCTCTTGCAGTGAAAGCCCTAAAGCAATGAAAAAGCTGGTTTTTTTACATGGAAGAGGCCACTGGAAGGCAGCTCTGTGCTAAGCAAGCAGTCACACTCCGCAGTGCAGGTTTGGGGAGCTCTAACTTGAGGGTTGTCCATGAGTTTTGCTACTGGTCTTGTCACGGCTTCAGGGATACCCTGTTCCTCTCCATTCATAACTATACTACAGACTTTTATCCTTTTTCTACTCTTCCAGCTGCAGTTTAGACCCTACAGCACTAAAATCAATGTATAATTAGTAACTGTGGAGGGGGAAAGGAGGGGAGAAACCACTGCAGATCCTGGAGACCAGCCAGGATCTATTTACAGCAAATAATGGATTGTTGCAGAGACCCCTCCACCCTGAAAAACTCAGAAGTGATGCTCTCAGCTCTGCTTGCGTGCTTTTGGTTATGAGACCTTTTCCCAGGACACTGAGAATACATAACTCTTCAATCACTGCAACTTGTCACCTCTTGTTCTTCGTGCAGGGGGGGGGGGAAGGGGTAAATTCCTATTTCAGCCTTTTAGAGTCACCTTCTCCAGTGTTTGTGATGCTTCAAGGACAGATTTTTTCGCGTATTTTAATGTTTCTAGAAGATAATTGTATATAGGAACAGCTCTGCACTAAATAAAATACTCACTTTGGGCTTTGGTAGCTCTTCACCCTCATTGCTCATAAAATTCCAGTCTTGAAAATCCAGACCCAGGAGCTGGACAACATCCTTGAAAGACTGTGAATAATCTGTGTATTTGAATTGGCTTTATAAAGCAGCTTGGGAAAAGGTGCTTCAACAGGATCCTATTTTGTGGGAAATAGTTGCTTCTGCATTTTTATGTGCCATCTGTAAGTGAGCATTGATTTTTCCTCGGTATTTCCTTATATTTTGAGATAAGTTGATTTATATTGGTTGATTAATGATAAAACCAAAAAGGAGAGTTGTTGCTTTAAATTTAAATCCCATGTGAAGGCTCTAAATTTAAACCACTTTAAAATAATAAGAGAAAACCTTGTGAGTTTTGTTTCACTTCGGTGTAAGCAATTTACCTTTAAAGCAATAGGGAATTTTCAAATTTGTTTATCTTAATCTAAGTTTTATTACAGAAGCTGTAGAAAATGTTTACTTTCATCCTGTAGTGCTTACATCTGAATATTTTCCATCATACTGCTACAAGAGTAGCTTTTGAGAGTGATATGGCTCTGGGTCAGAGATCTCTGGATAAAGACACTTTCTGCTCCAATTTCACATCAGCTCCTTCATGGGTTGAAGAATTCAATGTTTTGAGTCTTTAATAATTTTTTTTTTTTTTTTTTTTTTTTTACCTTTAGGAAAATAAATAATTTTTTAATGTAGGTTGTAGTTCCTCAGCCCATGTGAGTCACTGGAAGATGAAGCCATGTGCTCCCCACTTCGGTTGCACCTGGTTTTATTTTACCATTTCCATGGTGCACTGCACTCTGCCTCTGTCTCAAGTAAATTGAAAATGTATCATTTGGTTTGAAATGCTGCGCAGCAGTTAAGAAATTTATTTGTTAGCATGTACATAAATGGCTGTGATGAATGGGCTGTCTGAGGTGTGCAGATAGTAAATCTATCATCAGCTTCCCAGGGTAAAGCGTGGAAGATGTCTCTATGCTATACAACCATTCATCTTCTTTATAGAAACTGGCTGCATAAAGATGAGTCTGTAGAGAATTAATTGGTGTGGATCTCCATGAATCACAAAATACTCTCTAAAATAAGTTTTTAACTTGCGTTTTATCAAAACTCTACATTTTTCTTCTTGCTGGTTCTGGTGGTTTCCAGTCAGTGCTCCAACAGTGACAGTCTCCCACTGTGCCATCACTCTGAATAACCTCACCACTGCAGCCTCTCTGAAATACTGTTGTTGTAATTGTTATGTATTTATAGTTTAAGTATTCTTGGCATTTGGCTGCTTCCCCTGGTCCCTGAATCTGACTGTCAGATGCAGCATTTTTGTATCAATTCAGTGTGAAATCCCAGCTGCTAAACTCCATAAACATTAAACATTTATAATTGAAATCTATCATGGGCATCCTTGGATATAGAGGGTTTTTTTTAATGTAATGTGCCTTTAGCTGTCATTTCAAAGTAACAAAACCTATAAATGACTGTGGCTACCAGCAGTTCTGTTTGCCCACTCCCAAAAAAAGGTGTAATTTGTAAATGGAGGGGTTTTTCCCCTCCTTGTTCTTCTCTTTGAATATATTCCAGCTAATTTCAAGCCAGGCCAGCCTGCATGTTTTAGAGCTAATTGAAAGGCAAATCTGTTCTGCTGCAGTAAACAAGACAAGCGAAATTTTCTCCCTGAACCACAGTTTTAAAAATAATTTCGTGTCAAATCTTGGCTGAGAGATTCAACCTGCATCCCCCTAAACAGGCTTTGGATCCTATGGAAAGATCACTGTAGTCCAGCTCCTCTCTGCTTAAAATTTTGGCCCATTCAGTGAAAGGTACCACGTGGTGCTGGCAGGATTGCTTACACAAAAGGGATTGCTCAGCACATGGGATGGTCTTGGGTGATGGGGTTAATTAATTTAGTTACCCTGAATGGAAACATTTTACAGTAAGTTATTTTAGGCTACCAAAAGAAAACCATATTGTGGTTAAGAGTTTGAAGCTTTGCTGACTTATTATACTCCTTTCAGCTCTTAATTCAGCACACAGCTGTAATCACCCTGAAACAATGGGTTGGAGATATTTTGGGCAGTTGCTGACTGCTAGGAGAGATGCTTTTCAGAGGCTTCCTTAGAATGTCACCCCTGGTTTCTTACACAAGCCCTGCCTTTAATTTGAGGTTGTAATAAACCCAGCTTGGCTCTGCAGCAGAGGGGCTGTGCTTGGGTTCGTAACCCCTTGATTTGGGGCAGGAGCAGCCCCTTTGCTCTGTACCTTGTAGTTTTCCACAAAACATCCCAATCTTGTTCTTTAAAATACAGAAAAAAGAATGAATTTATTTAATAAAAAATAAAATAAATAAAAAAAAAAATTAATAAAAATAAAATTAATTTGTGATGTGTGTTATGGCTTATTCCTTCTTTATAATTCCTGTAAAATGACAAAGAAATTGCTGGGATGACCAAGCTTCCTGCTCCCGGCCAAGCCCTTGAGCATCCTCCTTGCTGCTGGAGCCCAGGGAGGACTTTTTTCCACAGGCATAAGTTATTTTCCTGTATCCTTCCATTCCTTTTATTGCCTTTTCCCCTTAGTGACCTGTGCTAACTTCAAAGCAAAACATAGATGTTTGAGGTTTGGTTGTGCTTGATCTCAGTCCCAAAATTATTCTTTTTTACTTTTGGAAAGTTTGAGAAGCATCTGTCCAGTTCTTCATGTCTCCTTCTTTGTCTTTCTCAGCTGTGCAGGTATAAAAATCCTCCTAATTCCAGCTCTTTCTCTACACCACCTATCTGGATCTTATAACTTGACAATTATATGGAATCGTATTTATTCAGTGGCCCTTGGTGGTTTCCAGGTCCCAGCACTGAGCCATGCCCATGCTGTGTGTTGCGTGGCAGCATCCTGAAAACCTGTGATCTGCATTTTTTTATTTAATACCTGTCAGCAAGTTGAACTGAAGTGTAACCTTCCCATAATGTCTCCCAGCCTGCTAAGCTGTGGGGTGACATGGCACATCCTTTGTCCCCGACTGGGAATCAGTGTGTGGTTTAGCAGGTGGGAGACAAGTTTTCTTCTTTTTCTTTTTTTCTGAAAATGAAAGAAGAGACATATATGTGTGCAGAAGAATAATTTTAAGTGAGCTTCAGTATTTCTGCACCGGTGAGCTCTCCCTTGCAGGGGTGGGGGATCATGTTTGCTTCTCCCAAAGCACGTTGTTGTAAGGAAATTTTATACAGCTTTGAGCCTCAAGAGGTTCAGCGAGGCATGTTACATTAAACCTGAGTGCTTTAATTGTTCCTTTCTCCGGGGAGGATCCTGTAACAGCACCTATGAGCCCCTGCAGCTTTCTTTTGCTTGTGAACTGGGATGGCAAATATTCCGGCACAACTCCTGATGGACCAGCTGAGCCCCAGCCAGGCAGGGATTTTGTGTTGATACTCCATGGACAATAGCACAAGCAGTGTTATCTCAGGGCTGTCATCTCCTGCTGAATCAGCAAGGATGGTGAGAGCGTGAGTTCTGTGCTGTGGATGTGCAGCACTGGGCTGGGAACCTCTGGACGCCACCAGCCCAGATAAACACCTGGGCAGCAATCACTGAGTGTATTCCCTGCCACTTCCAATATCTCATGTGAGACTTACTCCTAAAAAGTGAGTCATTTATGTTCAAGATGGACTCAAATGGAAACACGTGGAAAATCAATTTTTGCCACGTTGTGAAATGAGAGCAACGGGCTCCGAAGAAAGACCCATTATGTAGTGACTTATGATCTATTTTTAAGGAATTCCTGCAGGTGCCTGGCTCCTGCTTGAGAGTGGCTGCGGGATCTCCCTCTCTTTCTCGATGCTGGAAGATGATGGATTTTGCTCTCTGCCCAGCTTGGACCTGTGCCCTCAGTTTCTGGTGTTGCCTCTTCACCATCTGCTCTTACTGGAGGAGCCTGGGTGGCACCTGTAGGATCATTTTTTTCGGCAAATAGCAGCAGTTAATAGTATCAGCACCTAAACTGGCTCGTTTTTCCCCTGATCAAGCTCTCCCTGGCTCGAGCAATACCTCAGCCAGGCAGGATGTCTCCAGCATCGTGTGCTTGGCTGGGTGCCTCGGGCACTGCATGCTCTGCTTCTCCTCTCAGGTTTGATTTGGAACTGTGTAAACCTCAGACGTGCTTAAAATGAAAATGGGTTTTATTTGCACAAAGCAAAGTGGGAAATGTAATTATAAAACCGAGGCACTGGGAAAGCAAAGAGAAAGCGAGTTCAGGCTTAAACCCTACAGGACACAAAGTTCATAGTCTTGCATAATCTTTGAGTTCAGTTTTCATCCCAGAGAGAGCTCCTCATAGCTGGTATCTTAGTTTTTTTGTTGACAATCCAGTACTTTTGGTCATTTGAAGGCGGGATGGGGATTAAATCAGCGCTGAATCTGGATGCTCCAGAACTAATCTGAGCAATCCGAGTATTGGAAATCCTCTCACGACAATTTCCCTCATTCTTCTGTCTCCAGGAGCTCTCCACCTTACCTTTGGCTTCAGGTGCAGTACCGAGCGTTCCCTAGTTTTTGCCAGTCCCATATTCTTTGCCAGCTGTGTTCCATGCAGGAGTTGCATGTCGCTTCCCAATCCTTATCAGTCCATTTTCCCCCCTTTTTCTCCATTCTGTTTGCAAACACTTTCTTCTACTGTACTCTTTCAATCAGACTATTGCTTTTAATCAGACTGTCTTTCCTCCCCCGACTGCATTTTCTGAAGTGACGTGAAACTGTGTTGGTCGTGTATTTTGAAATAAACAATATGCCTGTCTAAGTAAATACCCCATCTTCCAATCTTCAAGATGTCTCATGAGAGGTATCTGCAGCTGATAGCTGATGATTGTGCAGGTCCTTTGTTTTATGGAGTGTTTTATAGAGGTGGTAGCCTTGGCTGCTCGGGTGGTGTGGTGTCTCGCCCAGCCCCACCACTGCAGACTAGCCAAGGATAAGGACCTACCACGAGCATCACTCTGGGCATTTACAATTTATTTTTCCTTTCTGCCCGCTCCTCTCTTAATCTCTATAAGTGGAAAATTAGGAAGAATTTAGTGTAATGACACAAAAAATACAGGCGTTTATGGGGCTGCTGGGTGCAGGAGGTGTTTATAGCAGCTCTTCATGCAGTGTGTTCTCATCCTGGCTGCCACAGCATCCATGTGGGTGAGGATCAGGCTCACAGGTGGTTGAATAAGGGCAGGAACCAAATTCTCTGCAATTCTTTCCAGTCTCCCTTTGATGTTTGTTATTTTTTTTAAATAACGATGACCGCTCTGGACATCGCTGGAAAAGCCTGATGTTTTAATTAAAAACTCAGGTTTTGAGGGCATTTATAACTCACTATGTTAAATTACAGAAGACTGAAACTTGGCAGATGCTGAAGCAATTTCAGGATCCCAGTCTGCAGGCTCTACATCTAACAGGAGCAGCAGGAGATGTTATTTCCTAGCAGTAGGATGCAGTGCTCTAATTCCTTCAATTAGTGTTGCCTGTTTGGAAGCTTCGCTGCTGGTGACAGTGAGGCATCTTCCAAGGGGCTGGCTTTGTCTTTTCAGCATCAAAAGATTTTATGTTTGTTTCCAGGGCCTATATCACAGACCTCAAGGTGGAGCAGTTAATGAATTAATTTGTTCTAATCGATATTAAGCAAAATTTGGAAACACGAAATAAAAAAGCATATCTTTTTAATTCATTCTCCGTGACTATCAAGATTGCTTTTTTTCGGCCAGTCGGAACATACCTGATTTCTCCAAAATTATCATCTCCTTCCTGAAGGGAACGGAGTTGTTGCATTTGAGTGGTAAAGTGCAGCAGACTGGGAAGCACATCAGGAGGACTGAAAACAAGGTGATCCGTGGCCTTTCTGTTCCAGGCTAGAAAGGCCCTGATAAGGTCATTCAGTGGCTGAGAGTGAGGGTCAGGTTGAGGGTGACCAAGCTCCTTTCAGGTGTCTTTGATCCATTCTGTGGGTAGTGGTGAGAGATCCCCCAAAATATGAGTTTTGTGTTTTGACTCACCTATGACTCCAAACGCTTTATTTTAGGGAAACATTGCCAAGCATGCAGACTAATCCAGTGCATGCTTTGCTTTCAGGTGGTCCTACCACGACTTTTTAAAGAGGTATCGTGTGCTTATGAAGAAGACAGACCTCGGTAAGAACGACAAGAAGCAGATCTGTAAGACCCTGTTGGAAGACCTCATTAAGGTGAGCGGGGACCAGATCTTTGGCAATGATTTTAACAGCGCAGAAGTTGGTGGCCTTCGTGTGATCTGAAGTTGCTGCTCCTGCTCCAGCTTCACCTGCTGCTTGTGCAGGTGCTTCTTCATCCCAGGCAGCCTGGGGATTTTTCCAAAATGAGATAATCTTGCAAGGAGGCAGAGGGAGCAAGCATGACATGGGATCTCATGGTTGTGGTCAAGATGCATGTACCATTCCAGTGCTGGTGAAGTCCTGAGTTTGCTGTCACTGGCTGGACATGATCAACTGGCCACTTTTTAAAAATGTGACATCCCAACCCCTCCTTCTGTTTTTGGCTAGCCATAGCTGGAGCATGTGTTAGAGCTCCAGCTTGGGACAACATCATGAACCTTAATGAATCATTAAATTACTCTTTGCCTTAACGAGTAAGAGAAAAGTGCAGTAAATGCCTTATCTTGATGTATGGGAGACTTGTAATAACCCTATGTGGAAAAAGCATCCCACAGATTGGGATTCTTTTCCCATAAGCAAATTGGAAGTTTTTGTCCCCTCTCCTTACCAAAACCTTGCCGCTCCTCCGTGCTTTATTTTTAAATACCAAATGTGCACGCAGAGGTTTCTTCCTGTGGGGTAGCCCGGAATTTGCACAACACCTTAGCCAGGTTTTAATGTTTGATCTCTTGGTTTTCCTGTGGTTTTTGAGGAGTGTACCTAACTGGGTTCCTCTCTGCAAAAGCTGTTTTCCTTATGCACCAAGTGTTTCCCTTGGCTGCAGCACCTTTTGAATGACTTTGCAGATGAAAACATTGATCTTTTTTAGAAACAAATCCTTTCTTTAAATGCTCTGATGTTGGATTTTTGGTTTAGAATGTGTCCCTGCCCATGACAGGGGCACTGGAACTAGGTGATCTTTAAGGTCCCTTCCAACCCAAAGCATTCTAGGATTCTATGATTTCTCTATTCAACCTTAAAGAAACCCAAGAAAAAAACCAAACAAACCAAATACAAACCAAACCAAACCAAAAACTTCCCAAGCCATTCAAAATCTGTGTAAATACATGGAATTTAAGACTGAATTGTAGTGCTTGAGTAGCTTGGGGTCTAATAATATCTTCATCACCCAATTAAGAAGGGATGTGAGCTGACAAATTTTATTCAAAGGGGGGTTTTTACTCGTATCTTACTGAGCAACACAGACTGAAAACAAACAAACAAACAAACAAATAATGTTTAATTTAATGTTTAATTTAATGTTTTAATTAAATTTCGTTTCCCTTGTGCTTTTGAAAAGGATCCAGACAAGTTCCAGTTTGGACATACCAAGATCTTCTTCCGCGCAGGCCAGGTGGCGTACCTGGAGAAACTGCGGGCAGACAAGTTCAGAGCTGCCATCATCATGATTGAGAAGACGGTGCGGGGGTGGCTGCAGAGGGTCAAGTACCAGAGGCTGAGACAAGCCACAGTCGTCCTCCAGCGCTACACACGCGGGCACCTGGCACGGAGGTGGGTCGTGGGGAGCCCTCCGAGGAAAGGGCTGACTGGGAACTCGAGTGTAAAAAAACGCCTCTGCCCGCTCGTGTTTTCGATTTTCCGTCTTGTAGGTCTTCAACTTGAGGTTTTTGTACAAAAAAACCCCTTTGAAAGCGCCCTGCATGGGGTGTTGCCTTTTAACCCCTTGAATGTAAGGCACGTACTGTGCATGTGGATAACAATGTAGTGAAAGTTTCTGTGCTGAAGTCAGGACTTGTTCCTGGTCCCTCTCTTCAGCTTTACTTAGGGGCAAGAGATAAAAATTCTTTGCCTCAGACTGGTTTCATGTCTACACTAGTTTAATTTCTAGGTGCTGGGCCAAGGTCATAGCGTAGGCAACTGGGTTATAATCAGATGACTAAAGTACTCTGAAGTATTTAGGTGAAGGTATTTCGCAGAACTAATATTTTCCTGGGACTACCTATGGTAAAGGGCATTTGGATCAGCCAGGGAGCAGTTGGCTAGTTGATATGCACTGTCTTCTGCAGGGACCAGCTTTGTGCCTCCTTAATGTCCAAGGGGAGCTCTCAGGATTGATTGGCTGTATCCTTTTTAATGAGAAAAATCACTCCGAATCACTGGCAGTGGGTCTGTTTGCAGTACAGTATAACAGAGCTCGGTGTTTAACTCTTCGTGTGAAGGAACCTCAAGCTCCCTCGTGCCAGTGGCTTGCTGGGATTTCTGTAGATAACACTGTGCTGGGCTGCTGGTGTCAGATGTGTGGTGAATGTGAGGGAGCAGAAAAGCAAAGGAATAGTGTCCCAACACAGCGATCACTTTCCATCTTTTGCCCCTTATTCAAGTCTGACACTGCTGTGTACAGTCACACTGTGTTTTGGAAGAGCGTCAGAGGTACTGGCTGAATTTGTGGTGTTACTTGTGATTGTGAAAGGGATTGGTGTCTTGGAGAATCTAGGGATGAGAAGGTCTAGGAGAAGCAAAGATGGGCAGTTTGGTGACTTTTATTTAAAACTGAGCGTGGGTTTTTCTTGTATTCATAAGTCCACATTACTTCTCTAGAAGTCCACGTACTTCTCTTTGCCAGCCTTGCAGCCTTGGACAAGGCAAATGAGACCTAAGCAATAAGGGAAAGGTTAAGGAAAAGGGAGAGTTGGAAGTGTTCAAGGCCAGGTTGGGCAGAGCTTGGAGCAACCTGGTCTAGTGGAAGGTGTCCCTGCCCATGGCAGGGGGGTGGATGGAGCTGAGCTTTAAGGTCCCTTCCAACCCAAACCATTGTGAGATTAACTTGAGCCTCTCAGACGGGCTCTCCATACACACCTACAGACTTGGACTTTACATCTCACTTTGCATCAGTCAACCATTCCTCTAGGGAGAGGAGGAGGGATGCCTGCTAATGTCAAAGTGATGGGATATGAGCTAAAAGAGAGGCTGGAAGCAGACATGTAAAAACCACCTACTGCAGTGTTTCTTCTTTATGATTTTTCAGTTCCCCTCTTCATGCAGGTTTCATAGGGAATGGATGGCATCTGAATAACTGCTGTCTCCTCTTTTTGGAGACAGACCATCCCTTATCCTCTTTAGTAAGCCCTGGTTCAGCAGGTCCTAATGAGAAGCTATTGACCTTGATCAAGTGAATATATAAACCAATACGATGTGGCTCTTAGTTTTGATGAGCTTTTCACAAAATAGAAGTGGATCTGTATAGTGCTTCATGCTGAGAGCAATAAATGAATCATAAATTCAGCAAAACAAGCTACTTATCAAATGAAATGGAGGTCCTATGGGCATTTATTAACTGGTGTAACAACAAATTGAGCATGAGTTCAGTTGGGGAGTGGGAGCCACGTGGTGGAGAGTTGACCACATCCCTTATTATTTACTCTCCGTGAATTGCTTGAGGCTCTGCTCACAAATGCTGCCAAACCAGTGCACACCAGTTGAAATGTCAAATCTGTTTGCTGCTGTTTTCACTGAGTCAGTAGGTACCCCATGCAAAATGGGCTTTTTATAGTTAGGGAAGTGATGGAGCCAACCGTGACATTGATTGGCTCGGGTAAATAAGGCAGAGAGATCAAACCAGGAAAAGCCTGGGGAAATACTTGTTTTCAATGCTGTTTGGGAACAATGAGGGGTGTTGATTTGTGGCTCCAGTGGTCCTGGGTTCCATAGATGCTGCCTGATAGCGTGGAGATTTCCTTAGCCCTACTGTTGGGGTGCTCTTTCCTGAATGCCATCAAGCTGCTTTTGGACGAACAGTTTTTATCTCTGTCCAGTTTAAAACTTATTAGACAGAAAGAAGGGGAGTTTGTTTTTCTGCTAAGCTTTCTCCTGTGCTTTGCAGGCTTGCTGAGCACCTGAGAAGGGCGAGAGCTGCCATCATCTTGCAGAAGCAGTTCCGAATGCTGCGGATCCGCCGAGCTTTCCAGAGGGTCCGCAACTCCACCATCACCATCCAGGCTTTTGCTCGGGGAATGTTCGCCAGGAGGACTTACCACCAGGTACAGCACCTCCACGGACTGTCTTTGTGTTACGAAAGAGTGGGAAGAGCCTCTGTGTTTACCTTTGCTGCCACAGCACTGTGATGTGTTTATTGTGGCTGTTTTGATGTTTACGAAGCCGACAGCCTCTGGTGTTTCTGGGGAGCAGGCAGCGACAGTGAGCATTGCTGTTTAAAGCTGTGTAAGGAGAAAAAAAAGATTTTGGCAGCAGCACCTCGGTGGAGCAGTTAAATGAAGTCAGTCATTCAGGTGCTGGAAGGCACTGTGGAAATCTGGAAATGTCATTTGATCTAACCTGTTCTCTGCTAAAACCTCCCTGGCCAACTGAATCTGTGCCTGAGCTGTGCTGCGGGTGCTGTTTCCAGGAGAGTAGGAAGACAAGAAGGGTCTGTCAGGGAAGGCAACAAGTAGTTTATTGATAGAAATCTCCCTTTAATTAGTTCTCTTCTCTAGCTTTCTGTGTTAAACCGGGACCTGAATGCAAAGAACTGAAAGTTTCATGACAGCAGTGATACAGTGAGAAACCATAGAGTCCTAGAGAGGTTTGGGTGGGAAAGGACCTTCAAGTTCATCTCTTTCCATTGCCCTGCCATGGGCAGGGACACCTTCCACTAGACCAGGTTGCTCCAAGCCCTGTCCAACCTGGCCTTGGAAACTTCCAGGGATGGGGCAGCCACAGCTTCTCTGGGCAACCTGTGCCAGGGCCTCACTACCCTCACAGCCAGGAATTTCTCTGCAATCCCTGATCTAACCCTGCCCCCTGTCAGTGTGAAGCCATTTCCCCTTGTTAAAATTCCTTCTCCAGCTATTGTCTGTCAGGAAACTGAGAACAGCTCTGAGGAATCTTTTGTCCACTCCTCAGATCCAGCACTGTTTTGGTGGTCCCTAAACTTATACCTAACTGGGCCATGGGCCTACTTGAAGAATTGAGAAGAATGATGAGACAGGAGGGGAAAGCCTTCTGCTGGGGATGGTGGAGGTTACCTGGACACCTGGTGACCTACCAGATAGATCAGGGTTGTCCTCTAAGACAGACCAGCTGGGTGCTGGTGATAGGGAATTTGTGCTGCCACTGCTTTTTCAGCATTTGTTTTTCAAATTGGAAGCCTCTGCAGGGGTGGCAGCTGGTCAAGAAGTTAAACCCTCTGAGGTTAAAGGTAGCCCAAATCTTAACAAGGTGTAGAAGTTGGCTGAAGTCCAGGCCTCGCAAATCTGAACGTCCTTAATCTCTGGAGCACCTGGGTGTAGGTGCAGGATATAGGTATTGGTTCAAGTGCATGTTCAGCAACAGGTGCAGAGTGGTGGGGGATGCTCCTTGGGGTCAGGGCATGCCCAGTGCCCACCAAAACTTTGCTTTAAGGCTGGAATAGGTCCCCAAGACAGTGCAGTGGGGTTTCTTGTATCTCTTTGGGCACCCCCAGTTTCTCCATCTATGAATGCCAGGGCTGGAGACGTACAAAGCTCATTTCCCAGTAACTCCTGCTGCATCCTAAGTTCACACAATCCCTTTATTCTGAATTAAAATTTGCAATTGCAAAGAAAGCCTTAGGGTGAAACAAAATATTTGTAAGAGAACCTGAGAGAGTACCTTTTCTGAGACAAGTTATCCCAAACTAATAACAGCAGTGTCTTGTAATCTTCAAATTCTCCTGCTATTTATTTCCTTATCAGACTGAAGCATAGATGAGCATAAGGAAGTTATTAACAACATGCTGGTTGTATCTCTAATATGTCAGCATTCAGTTGTAGAGGAAGGAATTGAATTGCCACCTACTGAAAAGATTGTAATAAATTTTGGGGAAGAAATTCAATGCACAAGCACCAGAAATTTCACAAAACCCTAGATAAAGGTTCCTAGAAGTTTAATTGTGTGACTGCAGACTGTAGTGAAAGGAGCCAGGGTTTTATTTGAAGGTTATTCACATGATAAGAAATCCCACCAGGAGAGCATTTATCTGCAGTAAAAATTATCATAATGTGGGGGTGGAACACAGAAAAAAAATCTACAGACCTGTTCTGGTGTGAGTTATATCTGATGCTGAAGGGCCGGTAAGTTTGTTGCTAAGTGTTTGTGTGTCTGTTAATGGCTGTTTATTCTGCTGGCTGTGGATCTCAGTAGTATTCTGAGGTGGTCCATGAAGCCTCCCTTGAGCCCAGATGCCCCCTGTTCCCATCAAGTTCTCTACTCACCAACCAGGATCATACACCCTCACGTCACTGGCCAAGCAGATCTTGACTTGTTTTAGAGAGCCAGGCTCCTAAGAGAGGTCTGGATGTGTCAAGCACAGTATCTGGAAAAACCTTTCTTGTGTGGGGGGAATTGAGGTCCTGTCTGTGACAGAGGATGCCTTTATCTCCAGCCATCACCCCGTGCACCTACCAGGACACTCCTTGGAGGAGAAGCCCTTCCAAAGGCAGTTGTTTGTTGAGTGCTGTGTTGCAGCCAAACCAGGGCTGCTGCTACCTGTACAGGTGACTTCCCATGAATGGCCATAACCTGAAGGGAGCTAGATTTAGATGGGATATTAGGAAGGATTCCTTTGCCGTGAGGGTGGCGATATGGTCTCTAAGGTCCCTTCCAACGCAAGCCATTTCATGGTTCTATGATTCTGTGACTTTCCTCCTTCTGATTGTCCCGTTCCTGCCCATGCTGTGCAGATCCTGGCGGAGCACAAAGCCACCATCCTGCAGAAATATGCCCGGGGCTGGCTGGCCCGCACACGCTTCCACAGGGTGCAGGCTGCCACCATCGTCCTGCAGTGCTACTACCGGCGCATGAAGGCCAGGCAGCAGCTGAAGGCACTCAGGATCGAGGCCCGCTCAGCTCAGCACCTGAAGAAGCTCAACGTTGGCATGGAGAACAAGGTGGTCCAGCTCCAAAGGAAGATCGATGAGCAGGTACGTCCCGAGCTGTGTTGCGGCGAGTGCGGTCATGCTGCCGCTTTGCCTCTGTTTTGTTGTCCTTCCCAGGAAGGGTTTTATCTTTCCATGTTGTCTGGTAAGGGTGTCGTGTTGGTGGCAGCCTTCGCTGCTTCTGGCCTGGCATTTGTAAGGGTGGGACACCACCATGGGAGTGCAGATGCGCTTGGATCTTGGGTCTCCCCCTTGCTCAGGGAGCTGCAAAAGCTGCCATGAAATTGTCGTGAGAACTGCCCAGAAGGGCTCAGAGGAGGAAGGTAAAATGGCTGTTTCGAAAGCTGTTGCTTGAAAACCCAAGCCAGCTCCATGTGAGATCCCGATGTCAAAGGGGTTTGGGGCTGGGTTGTTCTCCTGTGCTTCCCGCTTTACAAGCACCGAGGGTGCAGAGTCTCTGCCACAGCTGATTGTATGAACTGTGTGTCTTATGAGTCACCTTCCCTAGAAGATAAACTGTAATTTGAGTAAATACTTCGCAAAGTAATTTGAGCGTGTTTGTGTTACTAGACATAGCAACTCTTCAGAAGTAAGAGCCATGGTGAGGGGTGGGATGGTGGGGTGGAGATGCCTGTGTGGGTGACTTGATGGTCTTACTGTGACTCCTTGATGGCAGGGAGGTCTTCAGCAATTGCCATTTGTTATTAATGAGCTGCAGAATAACGGTTTGATTACACACTTAGGAGAAGGGTTTTCCAACTATTAATGTAAGCAAGTCACTCTGATAAATACCCTCTGTGTTGCTGTACGAGGACTTCAGGGTGAGCATAAGAAACGCTGAGTGGGACCTGCATATCAACAGGTAATTTCATATCTACTTGTGTCCTCCAACAGACCTTTTACAGGCAGAAGAACATTCCCTTTGAGTCAGGATAACGAGTGCCAGTTAGTAGTAATTGTGGTTTTTCATTCTGGGATGTTGTCAGGGACCCTTATACATCATACCTGGCTTCCTCGCCACCTTAAATCTCTCCATCCCTGAATGACTTGAGCAGTCCTGTGATGGAGATGATGAGGAGTGACTCTGCATTGGCTCAGATACTGCAGAGTCAGGATACCCTGGGATTTGCATTACTGCTGGCAGCCTTCATTGCAGTATTAATTGGCTGCAAAGTGTGCACTGCAGCCGAGTCTGACTTTCAGACCCTGGTGTTTAATTTTAAAATGCCTGTTTGCCTACTTATATTTTGCAAACAGTAGCTTTGGAATGGAAAACCTTAAGCATAATGTTTGATATGACCCTTTATCTGGAGGGTATTCAGTGGAATTAAATAGGATGAGTCATTTGAGGTCCAGATATTTGGGCTGAACTTGTGCAATGAGTGTGAACGTCAGTGTTAGGCCTGCTGAGCTGCTGGGCTTGGCCCTGGAGCAGCAGTATTAATTTTTAGTTTACATTCTTCCCCAGTTCATTACCAATTTACTGCTAGGAAAAGTGCGTGAATAGAACAATAAAGAAAAAAACCCAATATTTGGTTAACATTGGCTTCCTGTCATGGATTATGAAAGCAGCAGAAGGGTTTGCTTTAGGGAAGGAGTCACGGAGAGCTTTTAACTAGGCAGAAATAATGGTCTGTACCTCATCTTGCTCTCTCTTGGTCTCTGCACAGGCCATTTTGAAGCAGTTTCTTTGATGCTTTCTGTGTAACTTTTGCAGGGAAGGATTGCTGCTTTGTGTTACTCATGTTAGTCTGTCCAGTGAGCTGATTTTAACCATCCTTCCAGTACTGCCAGGTTTCTCTGGGATGCTTTGGAAGTGCTAATGAGCACCATTACAGTGGACTTTCTTTTCAGTACGTTGAATTTATTTTTTTCTGGCACAGTGAGTTTGCTGCATGGTAGTTTCCCTGAAGGATCTTGCTAATCTATAAACACAACCTTTGGAAATACCAATTAGCTTTCTAAGAAAAAAAGAGTATATACCAGGTAACCTGGAGAGCTGCAGTTGTATCATTTTCTAAATAGCTGTGGACGAAAATGTTTCTATTTCTGCTGCTTTAGCTCATGCATGAGTAGAGATGCAATACTCCATGTGCCCCTGAGGAAGAGAAGATCTTTGAAAACATTAAAACCTTTTCTTGTATGTCAGCCTTGGCTCACATGCTCTGGCATCCGTCTCTGGAATAGTTTAATTCAGTTTTTGAATCAGGTGAAGGATTTTTTTGCACACACAAGAAAGGTTTAAATCTATTTTGCTGCTAAACATCCTCACTGGACCACTTTTTTTTTCTAATTACCTTAGACCAATTTTTACTTTTTCTTCCCAGGGTTTTTTTTTCAGTTGAGTTTCTTTAAATCTACATGTTGTGCCTGCCTGAGATACTTTCAAGGCTGGTAACTAATTTAGTGTTACATGTTCATGCAGCTAATAATAAGATTCACAGTGTGGTCTCCATACTATCTCTACAAGCAGTAGTATCTCCACGAGCATTTATTGAATAAAACTAGTTTGAGTAGGAATAGTGATGAATTTGTTGCCTCTGCCATTGGTAGCAAAATTAACTAAAATTATTTAAAAAACCCAAACAACTAGGTTGGGTTGAAACCAGGACTCTCACAGCTCTGCAGGGCTGGATAATGATGGAAAATAAAGCAAGTTCAAGTTTAACAAGGTCTGTTGAGCAATCTCTGATTGCAGTGGGGAGCACCCCAGTAAACGCATGTCTCTGGTAGCTAATAACAAGAAAAAGCAATTCCTGTGCATTTATCTGGTTTCTGCTTGGAAATCTCCATTGGCTGGTACGTAAAACCATATACAGAAACCTTGGCACAGAAGGTTCTGCAAATGGATCTCTTTGGAAATATCTTTGGAACTCTCCTATGGAGCCAGGCTGGGAGGGCTGGGGGTGTTCACCTGGAGAAGAGAAGGATCCAGGGAGAGCTGAGAGCCCCTTCCAGGGCCTAAAGGGGCTCCAGGAGAGCTGGAGAGGGACTGGGGACAAGGGATGGAGGGACAGGACAAGGGGGAATGGCTTCCCACTACCAGAGGGCAGGGAGAGATGGGATACTGGGAAGGAATTCCTGTCTGTGAGGGTGGGGAGGCCCCAGCACAGGTTTCCCAGAGAAGCTGTGGCTGCCCCTGAATCTTTGTAAGTGTCCAAGACCAGTTTGGACAAGTCTTGGAGCAACCATGTCTAGTGGAAGGTGTCTCTGCCCATGGTAAGGGAGTGGAAGTGGATGATCTTTAAAGTCCCTTCCAACCTCAACTATTCTAGGATTCTATGAAATGCCTTTGGTCACGCAGAAATTATAATTTCCTACATGCAGAATTTTGATGTTCATTAATAATTCATTAGGAGGGAGCAAAGGAAAAAATGTTAATATCTCTCATTTACTTGTTTTTCCATTTTAGATGTGTGTTAATCTTGCTTCAGTTCACTGAGACTCTACATTGGGAGGTCACCTAAAGAGGGGCCAAAAGTATGATCAGAGCAAACTTCAAAAACCAGACTGCATTTTAAGTTTCAAAATGGTTCTTTTGCTGCCGTGGTTATCTACCTAATGTTAGCAAAGTTAACGTGGTAGGGTCTTAACAAAGCTCTTGGTGTGTTGTGAATTAGCTGACGTTTCTGGGGCTGACTAATAATGATGGTGTTTATTAGTCACAATGTCATTGACTTTGATTTGAAGCACAAAAAAACAAATGAGGCTGCTGAATTTTTGAGTCTGAAAACTTCGGGAGCAAATCACTGCTAAGTGCTTTGAAAGAGAAAACCTGAGCAAATAAGAAGATGACTGAGCAGGCACGTGACTTAAAAGTAGGGAGCTCGAGTATGCAGTTCTTCATTGTCACCTCAGGTTTCTGCGGGCATAGGAGCCAGGAGTAAAAGAGTAAATTGCAAACCAAATATTACAGATTAAAAAAAAAAGAAGCAAACCAATCGCATTAAGCAACAGTGTTTGGAAGCTGTAACAGGAGCGTGGTCTTTTGGTTTGGTTGCCAGTGCTACCAAGCATTGTTTGCCTTTGAGTGGTATCAGTGTAATACCCATTTAACAAATGCTTCTATACTTGTTGCCAAAACATTATTGAGCTTTCAGCACAGTTTAGACATAGCTTTTAGCTTTATGAGCTTTATTAGCATGTACACGGAAATGTTTGTTGTTGTGAGTTTGTTTCCTGCAGCACTCGAGGATTCTGAGCGGTTACTTTTGCAGTGCATCAAAGCAGCGCATGCATTCATGTCACTTATGCTCTTATGTCCTTCTCTTTGGGCTGCAGAACAAGGAATACAAACTCCTGAACGAGCAGCTCTCCACGCTGACGTCAGCCCACTCCTCCGAGGTGGAGAAGCTGAAGAAGGAGTTGCTGCAGTACCAGCAGAGCCAGCGGGGTGATGGCAACCAGCTTCTCAGCCTGCAGGAGGAGATGGAGCACCTCAGGCTGGAGCTGGAGAGGGCTCATGGGGAGAGGAAGGTGGTGGAGGACAGCTACATGCAGGAGAAAGACCTGCTGAGAAAGGTACGTCTGTCTGTCGCATCTCAGGTTGTGCAGGTGGTTATACTGGTGGAAGCTCACTCTTCACGGGTCTGAAGGGGAGAGAGTTTCTATTCTCTGATTAATATTTTTGCTGGTTTTGTTTTTGCTGCTGAATGCCTCTAGAATTTGTCTTTAACCAGCTCATGGGGCAGCAAGGGCAGGTGAATGTCCCTGCAGGGGCAGTGACTACCTTGTGTCAGAAGGATGTCCCACCTTGATGCCTTTTGCACTGCCGACCACAAAGAAACTCCCCAAACCCAAACCCATCTGGAAAACAGGACATTTAATAACCATGGATACCACAGAATCATTAAGGTTGGAAAAGACCTGTAAGATTGCCAAGTCCAACCATCAACCCAGTCCCAGCACTGTATTCACCACTAAACCATGTCCTCAAGTGCCACATCCTCGTGGTTTTTTAATACTTTCTAGGGATGAAGACTCCACCACTTTCCTGAGCGGTCTGCTCCAATGCTTTACAATCCTTTATGTGAAAAAAAATTCCCTATTACCGAACCTAAACCTCCCCTGGCACAACTGGAGCTTTGTTTCTTCTCATCCTGAGCTTCAGGTGTATGCCAGAGCTTCATGTTTATACAGTGATTCATCATGACATGTCGTGCAAAGTATTGGAGAGGGCTGTCATAGATGCTGTAAATATTAGGAAGATGTCCTTCCTCATCCCAGCCCAGGATGGGACACGAGGGTTCAGTTTTTGCCATGGCTGTTGCATCTGGTTGTAGTGGTGTTGTAGGTACACAGAGCTGTGATCTGTGTGAAGATCAGCTTCTCTCTTCCCAGGCAGAAGCACTGCTCCAGCACCACCTAGGCTGGTTGTTATGAGCCTTTACAGGGTTTGGAGCTGGGATATACACTAAATATATTTTTTTTTCTGCTCCTTCATGCAAACTCATAGAATATCCTGAGTAGGAAGGATCCCACAAGGATAATCAACTTCTGTGCTTTATCTCTTGAGGTGGATGTGGTCCAACACTGCCACCATTGTACAAGAAAGAATTCTAGTGGAGGAAGAGACTTCAGAATGGAGAGTTTGTTTTGCAAAGAGTAAAAATGGCCCTTTTGCCCTGAATTTCTTTGCTGGTCAGATTGATTCTGAATAACAACCGTTCTCATAACCTGAAGCTCTAAGATGTGGGTTTGGTTTCCTTCTGCGAATGCTTGTGGCTTCTCAGGTTAAATCCATGATATTTCTTCTGTACCAGCATTTGAATTGAATCTTTGATCTTGCTGTTAGAAAGAATTTAGGGCTTTCTTACTCAATATATTGCAAAGAAAAAGCTGTTTTGCAGCTGTTACTCTGGAACAGCACTTTGTGTGTGACGACCTGAAGATGAGTCACTTTAGGAAATTAAAAAAGAAAAAAAGAACCTGGAATTGGCTGTGTTTTTATTATGGTGAAAGAGTGCCCACATGGGGCTCTTCCAGGGCACTTCATGCAGCACCACCTGCCCTGGCCAACCTTCACTTGCTGCTGAGCACTCAGGTTTGGCTGAGAAGCTGCGGGAACTGTGGTGAGGATTACTTAATCTGAACCATTATCACAACTGAGATGCATTTGTGGGTGTACATCTCAGAAAGGTGAACACCCTGTATACTTGTTGTGTCTTGGCTGGACCAAGAGGTGTCAGGTAATCAGCTACTCCACTCTTTGCGTGTGTGTTTCACCCACGCAGGGAACGTATGAAATCAGTGATTTTCTTTTATCCACCACCAAATTAGAAGATCCGTTTTGGCACAGGACTCCATTCATTATCTGGCTGAAGCATAGGCTTTTAGAGCCAGAAAAGATGCTTTGTTTTGAAGGTGATGCAGGGGGATAAACTGCTTCTCTTTGTACTTGATTGCAAATCCCCTTAGAGCACTCGGAAGGAAGGTTGGTTTAATCACCAAAGAAATGCTTTTAAAAAGCATGAAAACAAAGCAGAAGCTTTGCCTTGCTGTAGAAGTGCCTACAGCAGAGCAAATACTGTGCGTTTTACCATGACAGTAAATGGTTTAATTATAAAACATTTCTAATGAGCAGTGCAGGCTCCCGTTTCTGGCATTAGCTTTCCATTACTCCTTTTGGTTCCTTGTCAGTGGGAAGACAGAGAAGACTTGTTTCCTTCCTGAAAACATTAATTTAGCCAAAACATTTCTCAGGAAAAATTCTGATAAGACGTATTTTGAGTAATTCTAACAAATACCAGAAGCTGGGGAGTGTCTAGAAACTGAACTCAGGTGAGAAGCACTTTTCACCTTCAAGATGAGGATTACACCATGGCCATGGTTGTAGTGGAACACATTTACTCTGGAGATGATTGCCACAGTCATCTCACCTCTGAGTGAGACTGAGATGAGCCTTAATTCTGTAATTTGAGCTGAGGCTGCAGATTCTGCAAATCCCTATCAGTTATGATTTTGTTACTTTAAAAAAACCTTTTAATCTCTTCCTCATAGCTATTCTCTCTGAACCCTTAATTTTGGAATAGCTCTTTTTACTTAATTTTGTGATTAAGTTTAAAACATCAGGTCTGGGTAAGTACCAACAGCCCTTTGTAGGGCTTTTTGTAGCATTGAGTTTCCTCACCTGATGAGATAGGATAATTTCAAAGCCTGGCCAGGAAAATGCTAAATGCCATCATTCTTCCCTCACAAGATTAGGGGAGGACGGGAGGCAGGTCTCCTGAGCTGGTTGTTCCAGCATAACACACACATAAGGGCTGAACCCATCACAAGTGCTCCCTGCTCAGCATCTTCCATATAAATCCTTCAAAGCAGGTGCTGTTGCTTCGAAGCATCTCCAGAGATCTGTTTCCTTTAGAAAGATGAGCAGGAGGTACAAAAGATGCCAGCAGGTACCAGAGATGGAGTTTGTGCTGCTTGGCCATTGTGTAACCTGCTCCTCTTGCCTCCACCTGTGTTTAATGGACTGTTCTCATCTTCAGGGGGCTTGGTTAAACACAGGTTTTGAACTTCGAGCTCATTCCTGTTTCATGTAGAAACAGGAATTCCATAAGCAAGTTGAATGGCTTAAGATCACATCTTAAAAATAGCGGCACCCAATCCGGATTAGAAATTTTAAAACCTCTGAATAATTGTTGTGGATCCTCCTGAGCCTTTCAGTTCTAAGTATCCCTCCATCATTGTTGAAAATACTCCAGATCTGGGCCTGGTTTTCTTTTCTAACCATCATGAATTTTTCTGGGCAGAGGGCTCCTTATGAGTACCCATTAAAGAGCACTAGTAAAATAATCATGTTGCCTTTAATCTTTTCCCTGATGGGATAAATGACTCAAATTCCTTGCTGTCCCACTGCAGTACAGGTTTTCATTGCTTCCTATAACTCCTGCAGCTCTTTCCCATTTTTTTAAGAGTTCTTTCTACCTTGAAGACACTGGTGCTGATCTAATGGCAGATGTGATGTCTGGAAGAAGAAAAGTAGCTGGTTTTGGTACAGAATATTAAAATCTTGTCTCATTTCAGAGCATTTAAAACACTAATAGCTCTGCATGCCTAAATTGTGGAGTTTTTAACTTTCTAGTTGTATCTCCAGACTCTGACTTTCATATTAGAGAGAGAGAGATGCAGGAGGTAATAGTGTCATGCAAGCAGCTGGAGTAAATGAACAAGGAGAGTAAGGGGTGGTGATGTTTTCCAATTTGTGCACAGAATATGACTGATTCAGTCACGACTTACAATAAAATATTCATTTTGCTTTTATTCTCACCATTAGTATGTATCTGGCATATGCAGTGTTTGATAAAATACCTTAATTTGAACATGCTTGTGTGGAAGACTGAAATCTGTGCTAGGGATGCATGCCAGCTGGGCTGCCTATAAATTTAATCTAATGGCGACAGCAAAATTATTACTCTTGGGCATGTTTACAGTGTTTTTTAGTGTTGGCATCGTGAGATTCTTCTGCTGTGTGTAGCTGTTTCCTAAGTGGTGGCTATAGGGTGTGAGGGAGCAGGCACAGGGAAATGACATTATGCTGGGGTGATGTGTGTTCTCCTGCCTGACAGCAACAGAATTGTCCTGCTTAACTGTAGCAGCATATTTCACTTGATAATATGATGGTTTAGTGTTTTGAGATAGTGCTGTTGAATGCATCAAAGTTCCTGAGGATGAATAGTATTATGGGATCAGTAGCTGTCAGAATCAGACCAGCCTTGGAGTTGTGACAATGCAAAATAGCATTTTGCAGGATTTAGTTTCTGTTCTCATTAATTTTTACGAGGCAATCGTTGGTGTTAATTGCTAGATATGCTCCTGTTGTGTTACCAAAGGCCCTGGCACGTGCCATTCCTCGCTGTACTAGCGGTTCTGCAGTCATAGGAAGCATTAATGTGACTAATCACACTAAACGATGCGTACAATAAAGTCAAAAAAGCCCCAACTATTTGCTCAGCTCATATTCGCTGTGTCCATCTCAACTCCTTAAGTGCTACATTGCTGGGAACAATCAGCAGGTTTGTTTTCCCAACAGCACTCAGTGCTGTGACTTGAAGAAAACGATGAAGCCCGTTGAGATGTAAAAATGAACCTCAGATCTCATGACCTGATCGCTTACAGGAGTTTCACTCCTGCAGATTGTGCTCACCAAGTCCAGCTGTCCAGTATTTTGTAAGATTCTGCCGAAAACATAATTTAAGGGAGCAGTTCACTCAGGAAGGGGGAAAGTTAGTCTCTGGGGTAGCAGTGCAGTTCTCCTGCGCTCCAGCTCCTGACGTACAAAGGGCCACTGGCAAAGCACGGTGGGATGGATCTCTTAAACAGCAAAGAGAGCCCGAACAAAGCTCCCTGTCTCTCGTCAGGTGAAATGTAATCCCTCTGCAGAGGCCCTGACCTGCAGCAAGCAGTAATTCTTTGCCTTGCTCCCGTAGCGTATCTCCGATTTGGAAGAAGAAAACGCTCTCCTGAAGCAGGAAAAAGAGGAGCTTAACAGCAGGATTCTCTGTCAGTCTGAAGGTAAGAAAAGATGCTTATAGCATTGTAATGCTAAGTGAGGAGCTTAACTGGTGTCCCCCCACCAATCTCGCTTTTCCTGTGTGTTTTTCCTGCCTTGAAAAGTGCTCATCTTCCCACGACCCTTTCCTGGTGGTTTTTGTCACTGTTTTGTTGTGCAGGTAGTTCTATTCATGCAGCCCTGCTGGTGGATGCTAAGCTAGAGACCAGTTTAATTGCTGAAACATGGAATAAAGTACCTGAAAGGGCTTTTTAGTTCAGTTACGTCGCAGCGTTTCCTGCAGGTGATGTGGGAGGGGTAGGGAAAAACAGCATCCCAAGAATGATGAATGAAGGATCCAAGGAACAGCACAGTTTACATTATTGAGCTATGTCAAAGGATTTCTCCAGTGTGACACAAGTCTGTGAGCATTTTTTAGAAGCAGAGACTTAGATGGCAAGACATGCAAAGGGGAAAGCAATCTGGGAAAATCCCATGTCACAAAAGAAACTGGGCGTATTGAGCTTTTCTATTTTTTATCATCCTTTTCAGCTTTGATTTTCTAGCAGGATTTACAAAGAGCGTTGTGCTGTGGATGTATCTATCACTGCTCCGTGGTACTTGTGAAGTACCTTTTGCCCTCAGCCTGACGCAAAATAAAGGAATTAAAGTAACATGTTAAAAAGAAACCTCCTGCAAATATTTATTTATCTCTTATGGGATGTTTCTGGAGCATCTGAGATGGGAGAGAGCAAGTGGAGGGGGTTTGTTTGTTGTTCTCCCATTTAAAAGGACACATGGGCTATATTTGTCTGGTTCCCGAGGAAGAGGAGGGACCAGATTTGTTTCCAAAAGGGAGTCTTTAACAAAGAAATCAATTTATTTGGATATAAAATACTTTGAACCCCCTGAGTCTTACCATGGTAAATGGTTGATGCCACGAGAAAAAGCTGCTGCAGTTCATTTGCTCCTGTGCCAAATATGGTGGTGGGAAGCAGGCAGGGAAGTTTTTAAATGCAGCATGTACCACTTTTTCAATATGACTGTATTTCCATACTGTGCTGGTGTTTTCTTGAATGGGTTTGTGGCTGGCCCATGGGAGCTGGAGCTGGCACAGTTGAGTTAAGCATAATAGATCTGGTGGTTTGTAGGTGCTGGAGATTTTTCTTTGACTCAAATTCAAATGTCATGGAGACAGCTCTAGATTATAGAAGTGTCTAAATATTAGAGAATGCTCACATGTATTCTAAAGGCTCCTGGCAGAGACAGTATTTTTTTCATTAGTCATTGTAATTGGACATATTAACCAGAAGCTCATTTCAGAGATGAAGTTCATAATTTCTCTTTCCTTTTTTTTTTTTTTCCTTCTTATTTTAAAGATGAATTTGCTCGAAATGCAGTTGAGGAAAATATCCAGATGAAGAAAGAGCTGGAAGAAGAGAGGTCTCGTTATCAGAACCTGGTAAAAGAGTATTCAAGTCTGGAGCAGAGATATGACAACTTGAGGGATGAAATGACGATTATAAAGGTAATGAAACTGGAATTATCCCTGTTCTGTTGTACCCTGAACCTGTTGTTGGTGAACAACACGACTCACTTATCCGCAAAACATTTAATAGAACTGACATTATTGTGCAGTTTGCGCTTGATATTTCTGAGAATACACTTCTAGCAAACCATCTAAAGTATCTAAATATTAGAGAATGCTCACATGTATTCTAAAGGTTGAGTGCTTGAAGGGAGTTCCAGAGGGTTCTGTCAGCAGCATCATCTTGAGCTCAGATTTGCATGTTCACACTTACCAGGCATCTGGTGTCATGATGTGCCTTTAATTCATGCAGAATTTTTAAACTGAGCTTCTATATCCCTTCACATTTTAAGGTATTCCTTTGTGTTAATATGAATTTCATGGTTAGGGCATAAAAACTCAAAAATGGAATATGCTATAAGGTGAAAGTCAAGCCTTTTGTAAAGGTAACTTTGGTATATAGTCAAATATGTGCTCTTGGTAAACAACACTTAGTGAGGAATCCTTAAACACTGAATGCTTTATGTATCTGCATCACTTCTTGGCAGCAGGCACCGGGGCACAGAAGAAACCCATCCAACCAAAGCAGTCTGGAGTCTGATTCCAATAATCCATCCATATCCTCCTCTGACATAGGAGACACCGACGATGTGATTCAGCAAGTGGAGGTACAGGAAACTGGGCAGGAGAGGAGTGGGGAGGAGAGCCCTGCTCTGCAGGGGTGATGGGTGTGGGGTTTGGAGCACAGACGTTGGGCAAGAAGGCGTGGCAGATAAAATTGACTTTGGGCTAAAGAAACACATCATTAATTGTGTGAGAGGGGTTGCAGGGTCGTGGTGCTGTGGCAAATGCTTTCTTGTTTGCAGCATCGGGCTTAAATAGGGCTCTAAAAATAATAAAGTGCTGCCTTTGGGCCACACCAGCTTAAAGACTGATGAAAATTCATCAAAGCAGTTATAGCCAGCACTGATGGCGATGACTGTATCATGATCCTTCTCTGCAAGGATAGCAGAATTCATTACCCTCTTGCCCTGAGTGTTCTCGCTCCCATGCATCTTCACGGATGCTTTGCTGGCCAGCACGGCCCCTGTAATCAAATCAACAGCCTCTTAATGCAGAAAAGAGCAGCACAAATTAATCCCTGGCTTTCAAGAATCCTGTGGAAAAGAGAAATGTGTTTTTTACTCACATTTGCTAGAACAGGCTGCTTTTTAAATTCCACTTCTGTGACTCAAGAGCACGTGTGGGTGGTGAACGTTCCTGGGATCTGCCAACCCGTTGGCAGGACCTTACTTTGTGTCCCACATACATACCATGCCTGCAGAAGCCCTCACTGCCCTTAGCTGGCTGCTGTGTTATGTTTAGTATTTCTGAACTACGCTGAGAGCATTTTCTGAAGTCAAACAGTAGTGGCCATGCTCTGATGTAAAATATTCCAGGTGAAGCCAGTTAAAAAAATCAATGAATAAATACTTGGCTAGAGTGACTCAGTAGGGCATTTTTGATGTTCTTAGCTGCAGCCCAAATCAGACCCAACTTATCTCTTGGGCTGTTAAGCATTCTGTGATTTATTAAAAAGAGTCAACTGTTCTACTGACATTAAAAATAGGTGCTTAAAATGTAGATTTGGTCTTTGAAAGTGCCTGTCTTTCATGAGATCCTCCTGTTACTGGCTGTGGCTGGGGTCGGTGCTGATGTACAGTCAGGCCATGTCTGGCACTGGGTGTGGTTATAGAATTTAACACTGAGATCTTTTTTTTTTCTACTCTCCTGTTCTTCCCTAGGAGATTGGGATGGAAAAAGCAGCCATGGACATGACCCTCTTCCTAAAGCTGCAGAAGAGAGTGAGGGAGCTCGAGCTGGCGAGGAAGAAGCTGCAAACCCAGCTGGAGAAGAAGGAGCAAGAGAGCAAGAAATCCCAGGTAAGAGGTGGCTTTTCATTGATACTAATATTTCCTGTTGGTAGCTGGCTTTCCTTGATTGCCTGAAGGACACATGATGTAGGAATTCAGGTTTGAGAGTGACAAGTTCAAAATAAGAGGCAACAAATCCATCTGGAAAACGGAGATAAACTTTTTTTGTCAGCTAAGGACAATCTCACAGGGGAAGTGCTTTATTTATTTATATAAACAAACTGGTTATAAAATATTTAGGACAGTCCTTGGTTTGGTATTGTTATCATCTGTGTGGTTTGGTTGGTTTTTCTTCCAAAGTGATGACCATATAGGAATAGAGCTTAAAAATAGTATAGTAAATCAGAAATAACAAGATGGCTGTTAGAAGAATGAATTCTTCGTTCCTGTTGCATATTCCTATGCTGTATTCTTTCTTCCTTATGAAAAGAAAATCTTCCTACAGTTTGTTTCCTTGAAAACAATTAAAAATATATATTAATATTAATAGGTATTTATCTCTTATCCTATATAAAACGTATAATATAATTATATTATATATAATGTGTTTATATTATATATAATATAAATATTAGTATATAATATAAATATTAATATATAATATAAATATAAATATTAATATATAATATAAATACGAATATATAGTAACATATTTTTAAAATCAGCATTATTGACATCCCAGTAACTTAAGGGACAGGAGTCCATCCAGGCTTACAACTGAAGTCTGAAAATGTAGCTCTGTATGTTCTGGCGAGCCAACTTCTGGGATTGGGGGCTTTCAATAGCAGATCTCTTGTACATTTTCCCTGGCATCTGTAACCAAGACTTTGTGCCTTGTCAGAGGCCACAGAGGGGATGATGTGTGCCATGAAACAGCAGTGCTGTGTGCATGGTGTTGTGAAGCAGTGAAGATGCTCTTTTACGAGTTGCTGAGTAAATGCCATCACTCTTGGTTTCATATTTGAAATTTCTGGGGCTTCTGTTGCTTCGTTTGGGAATTATTTTCCTTATTACTCTCCAGTGTGAGATCAGTGTAACTTTGGACAAACGCAACGAGAGACTCAACAAAATCATCAACAGTAATTATTTACGTGCTTCACTACATATTCTTATTGACCACCTCTAGTAATTGGCAGGGGACACATGAAATTGGAGACTTCCCCAGGCTCTTCTCCTTGCTGCAGAGGTGGATTAAAAACCTGTTTTCCGACTGCTGTGTTGAAGATTGTTCCCTTAATGACTGTCACTGTTTGAAGGCTGCAGTGAGCCACAGTTGTCACGATATTAATGAGAGATTAAACCATTTTCTCTTGAAGTGTCCTCTGCCCCACTAGGTGTTGCTGGGATGCTGTCTGATGGCAATTAATAACATTATTATGGTTGAGCTGGCCGGATGTGCCCAGCCATCCTGTGCTGTGTGCCAGCTCCTCTGGCTGCTTTTAAATATGAATCTGTCTCTTTAATCCATGCAGGTTATTGAAACAAACACCATGACTTCAGAACAGGAAGATTTTGCATACAACAGCCTGAAGGTGAGTGAGAGTGCTGTAACCTGTTCCATGGCTCCAGCAGCCCAGACAAGTGGCATGAATGTGGTAACAACACAAAATCTCCTGTAACTGGCTCTGTTAGAGGGGCAGTTGCAGCTGTAGCTGTCCATCAGCTCTGGGGTCTGGGATGGGCTCACAGATGTTTCCCTCTGGGGCAATGTCTGTTCTGCACTGGTCTACCTGTTTCTTAGTCATCCACAGAGGCAAAAAGCCCACTTATGGTGAAGAGTGCTTTTTCCACTGCACCTGTTCCCACTGGGACTTTATTGGGTTTCCTCTGTTGGCACATCGGGTCTCAGCAGTTTGCTTTGCTATAGGTATAAATCTCACAGCTGAAGCCCAGTGTGCTTCTTGTTCCAGGCTTCAACTCTGCTTTTTGTCCACTTTCTGTGCATTCCTAAGGTGCCACTCTGGTCAAAACCAAATAAATCTGTGGATATTCTGTCTCCATCGTTTTCTCCCTGTGACACACAGAGCATCTGAAACCTCCTGGGCTCCTATTGCAGCTTCTGTGGGTTATCCCCTCCTGCTCTAACAGTACTCAAATACTCTGTTAGACCAATTCCTATGTCTTGCTTATCCTCAGAAATCCAGTTTCCAGGTTAGGGTTAGTAAGGGAATTTTTTTCTATATTGGTTTTTTTTCAGCAGAGACCTACCTTTCAGAGGCTCCTTCTCTCCTTGTCTCCATAACAAATGTGTTATCCAGAATAACATGATACTAAACCATCTGTCAGTAGTAATACCATTTTTGCTTCTGTATCATCTCCTCTGAAGGACACAAAGAAACCAGAAATTAGAGATGGAAAGGATGGATGTTCAACCCTCACTAAGCACATACCTCTAGCAGAAGCTTTTTCTGGCACTTAATCCATCCAATTTTTATTTTCTGAGCACGATATTCATGTTGCACTGGCTGGATGTGCTTTTAGTGGCAGAGGGAAACCCCACTGAGTTTCATTAGTACCTCTGCACAGCTCCTAGGAGAAGAAGGATGGCACCTTCTTAAATAGCTTCTATGGAGTTCTGACTTCAGCATGAGTTCAAAAAGTGCGTTTTCTTCAAGCTTTGACCCAGGAAGTTCAGAGTGGAAATAGTTATTTTGGATTTTCTTACTTTCTACATTCCTAACGTACTAACATACGTAGTCCTAAATATCTAAGAAACCTTAAAAACTCTGTGTTAATACCATTTCATATGAATAGGTAGCCTGTGTTGCTAAAAATGAAGGATTCTTTAGCCTAAAACAGGTGGAACATGAACCTGCAGGGTTGTTGGTTATTGCTTTCTTTCCTGGTCTCCCTGGCTTCGTTTCTAACCAGAGCTGAACTTTATATGACCAGTCCTTGGAGTCAGCAGTGTGGCTTACCCACTGAAAAAAGGAAGAGGGGGAGAAAGGGATAGAAAGGAGGAGGACAGTAAAGAAAAAGGAAAGCAGGAGTCTTAAACAGCAAATAACAAAACTCACAGGAGAGCCATTTGTGTAGAAAAGCAGGTAATTGCTTTCATCTTACCCTTCACCTGTCTGTGAGCATGATCAGTAGAGAGTGAATGATCAGTAAAAGAGTGAAGGTGATGCTTTAGCCACGTAGCAGGAACAGTTAAACCCAGTTTGGTATCCGTTCCCACCACATGCACAACTCCAGCTTTAAAAACCAGTACAGAAAAGCCCATGTCTCATATGCTCCCTCTGCTGAGCTGTGCTTAACGTGGAAGAATTGCTGGATCTCATGCATTTCTTATCCTGTCTTTTTTTAATGACAGATGGTATCAAGTACCTGAATATGCTCCATTACTGATGTTGTTTGTTCAGCTAGGAGCATGCTGTCCAGATGCCAGATCAGCTATTCTGTTCACACCTCTGCTGTGATAAGCCTTGCCATTTATAATTTGTAAGGATTTATAATTACAACACCCGTTTCCTATGGAAACGAGGTTTACACAGCTGTGCTAGCTACACACTGTATAAATTTTATAAATTGCCTCCCTCCCCCCTCCCCCCTCCCCCCCAAGCGATTTTTGGATTCATTAGCTCGCCTCAGCCCATGATGATAATGAAGCAGATATCCCAGAGATAAGAGGGATTGTGGAAGAAAGCTGTGGAAAGGCTCAAAAGGTGGTGGGGAGAGGGAAGCACCTAGATCTCAGTGGGGGCAGATCTTGTGCTGTTGTAGAGGATCCACATTGATGGGGTTTGTCCCTAGGAAAGAGCTGATCCCAAATCACTCAGACAGCAGACTTTGTCAGCTCACTGGCAGATGTCTTGGTCTGTACCATGCTGGATTAGGGTCCTGTTGGGTTTTGGCATTGTCTGGGTGCATGGGGACAGGAGGGAGCAGTCCTGGGTGCCACCCTGAAGCAGCTGGGGATGGAGGATCAGTGCAAAGAGAAAGTGGGTAGTTGGATTCTGGCTGTGAGCAGGACCCTGGGAGTCTGGCTCCCACCCTGTCTGTGACTTATAGCAAAGACTAACAGATTTAAGCTGAAAAAGGGTAAATTTAGATCGGATATTGGGAAGGAATTCCTGGCTGTGAGGGTGGCGAGTCCCTGGCACAGGTTGCCCAGAGAAGCTGTGGCTGCCTCTGGATCCCTGGGGGGTGTCCAGGGCCAGGTTGAACAGGGCTTGGAGCAACCTGGGATAGGGGAAGGTGTCCCTGCTCATGGCAGGGGGTTGGAATGAAATGAGCTTTAAGGGTTCTTTTCAACCCAAACCATTCTGTGATTCTATGATTGCACTGCTGCAGGAGTAAAGCTGCTCTTGGCCCAGCTGGGATGATCCAGGTGGGGTTTGGGTGCTTGCAAAGAGCTGCCAAATGTTGTGTTGCTACCTGCAAAGTTTCAGGGGTGACACACTAAAATGAAGGCTGTCTTAGCTGCAGGATTTTCATTCTTCTGTCTTCTACTGTCATGCAAAAGCAAATGAGCCCTTCAGTTGCCTCAGCAAACACATTATTATTCAGGAGAAGCAGCCACAGTCAAACTTGTACAGTATTGCCCCTGCCTGTCAAATGCCAGCATCTGATGAGATGTCAGGGCAAGAAAATCCTCCAGCTGCAAACACTGCACCAGGGTGAGGGAATTACAAAATGTATGAAAAAAGAAGCTGTAATGGGAATTCACAGACCCGTGGCTCACCTAATGGGATACCTGCCATGATGATGGGTCCTGTAAATCAGCACCTTCCAGCTTACTTAATGAATTTGAAAGACAAGCTGAACGTAGTGGGGTTGTGGTGATTTCTTGATAGAGAAGGAAAAGAGGTTGAGAAGAAAAGAATGTGTTTATCTTTAACAGCTTGCTTTTGTGTTTAAAAATAGTGTCAACAAATTAAAAATCTCCCTGTATCCCCTGTTAGTGTTGTTACTAAACAGCAACAGGCTGCTGATAAAAGCAAAACCCTTTTCTGAATAGCACGTGGCTGGACTGGCAGAAAAATCCAGATCCTGTCTTTAATTGATAGGTCAGCCATAATCATCACTAATTGAGTCACCTTAGAGGTGTCTCAGAAGAGGATGAGGCACTACAAGGCAGCTTATCCAAACTGGTTAATGGCTCGATATTTTCCAGAGGCAAGAGCTGGAGTCGGAGAACAAGAAGCTGAAAAATGAACTCAACGAGCTGAGGAAGGCTATTGCAGACCGAGCGACCCAGAACAACTCGTCCAACGATGTCCAGGACAGTTACAACCTCTTGCTGAACCACCTGAAAGCGGCCAACGAGGAACTGGAAGTGCGGAAGGAAGAGGTGCTCATCCTGAGGTCACAGATCATGAAGGCAGCCCAGCAAAAAGAGATGGGGAAAAACATGCTAAAGGAGAGGGTAATGGCTTTTCTTCTCCATTTTCCCTTCTCTTGGTGGAAATTCAGTGGTTGCCTGAGTGATGCTATTTGTGCTTTGGTAGGCTCTGAGTGCGGGATGGCCTGGGCTGGTTATAGGGGGTTGTACAGGGATATAGGAGGTTCTACCTACGGATGAGTTGTAGTCCATGACATTTCAGACAGCCCAGGACTATATGTCCCGTGGTACTGCTGTAGGGTGCTTAACCCCATACCTGATGAGGCCTAGCCAGCCCACACCAAGGAACAACTTCTCCAGTCCTGTACCAAGGTGTGGTGGTCTGAGATGTTCCTGGTGATGTTTCCTGACAACGCTATTATTCTGCAGGAAAATGGGATGGGGAGAAAGAGCTTCTGGATCAGACTCTGCTCACTCGAGTCTGATGCAGCTGTAATGTGTTTTCTACTGGTGTGTAGACGAGAGGACTCTCAAACAGCTGTGATGTGCTTTTGTTTTTCGAGCCCATTCCAATGGGAGGGTTTATTTTCCGAAAACTCTAACTTGGGCTTTTTTCATTCACTGTCTTACCATTCCTCAAGGTTTTGGTACGTTTTGTATTTCAGACCAAGCACCTCATCCCTCTCTCATATTC